ATGGATGGATGGAACATACATATGGGAGGTGTGGCAGTCAGGAGCCCGTTGGAGGCCACGCCTCCCCGACGGTGTACTGTGCCTTTGACACAAACTGAGAGAGAGAGGGGAAGGGATGATGAGGGTCATGTTTGTGGCTACGATGCAGAATCCATGGAAGAGCCTGCAGGATACAGGACCAAAGAAAGTCCACCATCTGGAGGCGTCTGAAGGAGAACCTCCTGGTGAGGTCAGCTGCTTGATCCAAACCTCCCTGTGATTTCATCCTCCTCCCTAAATCTAAGTTGACACGATGAATCGGGTGCAGCGAGCAGGGAGAGCGCACAGACGGAGCTGCACAGAACCTGCAGGCTGTCTGAGCCGTTGCAGCTCTGCTCTTTGTTTTTCACGCCGTCTCTGACTCTGCTGTTGGTCTCTCGCTCCCGAAGGTGTTTGAGCTGCCACAGCCACGGCTACAAGACCTGCTCCGTTTGTCTCGGCAGCCAAAACCTGCTGCACTTCATCCAGCTCACAGTGACGTGGTATCAACATCACTCAAAATGTTCCCACGGCCCTCCGTATGACATCACTGCTTCAGCCGTGTGTGTTTATTTTTTTAAATGTGCAGGAAGAACAACGTCAGCGAGTTCATTCCCGACCGCCAGCCCGACTTTCCTGACAGGAAGTTTGAGAAGGTGTCGGGAGACGCTTTCTTCATCGATGAGAGTTTGCTGGTAAAAAAAACATTTATTTTTCTTTGTGTGTTGGATCCACACCGGCTGCTTCCTCTGTCCTGATTGGTCAGCGTGTCCACTGTAGCGAGTGGATGAATATGAACTATACGAATGCATTTATAATAATACAGACTTCCTGCTGCTGCCAGGTGTATCCTATCCAGGGTTTCCCGGATCAGGAGATCTGTGACGTTTCAACAAAACTGATTAACGAACACCTCGAGCGCTTCACCGCCACCAGCCGCATCCTGCAGCAGGTACAGATACGCACTCTCGGCCCTCTCGATCTCAGACACGTTCTTTGAGGTTTGTTGCTCTGTGTTGACTCTGAGCGTGCGATCTCCCTCCTCAGCGTCAGAGCATCGAGCTGGTGCCCCTCACGCACGCCTATTACACCTACAGCGGGAAAGACTACAGCTTCTTCGTCTACGGGCTGGAGAACAAAGTGTTTACCTCCAAATATCCCTCAGCGTGCTCCGTCCTGTAGGCAGCACGGTATCGATATTTAATCCCACGACACATATAACCGTTTTAGTTTTGTATGTTTACTTAAGAATCAGCTTATTTTTGACAGGATTCTCCTCCAAATCACAGGGAGCCAAACTTCTAAGATAAGTGGCCCCAAAGCTGTCGCAGGTGTCGTTCAGTCAAACGTGTTGATGGATTTTCACTATAAAAGTTTCCATATATCCGTAGATAAACTTTGTTATGCATGTTAGTTATTTTAATCATGAATCAGTATGAATTATACCTCTGTCTCTAATCTGTTATAATCCACCCACTGTGTGTGTGTGTGCCCTAACATCTACTTCCTGTTTACCATCAGGTTATTTCCTGTTGCTGCTGGTGCTTTCTTTGTGCCATTCAGTGCTAAATGCTTTTGTTCAGTACATCATCAGGTCAGATCACTAAAGTTAACGTGCACAACCTGGAGTTTAGTTGTTTATGTGTTTAGTCTTCAGACGTCTCAGACGTCCTGTCACACTCAGGGTTGATTCTCTTATTTTATGGGATCTGCACGAACCTCGTTTTACTGCTTTAAACGTTTGCTTTCAGATACAGTCAGACTCGTTTCCACACTGTTACTCTCGTTTGACTCTTTGTTTCCTTTTAACGTTAAACACGAGTGCACTTACAGCGTCAGGTTCAACTCGAGACTTTTCTTTTCTCATTGAGTGTTTTTAAAGAAAAGTGATTAAGTGAGAAAATAACTGGCAGAATAATCAATACTGAAAATCATCGTTAGAAGGAGCCCCGCCCAGAACATCACAGAACACGAACGACCAAAGATTTTTAACCTTTCTGGACGTTTTCACGATATTTGTGCTCGTTTTGGTGTCTCACTCTCGTCTCTCTGTGATTGGTTTTGGTTTCTCTGATGTCATTTAAATCAGTTTTTTTGCATATTTTTGTGATTTCAGTCTGTTTTTTGTGTGTTTATGTTTTTGTCATTATCAGTACCCTTGTTGAAATATTTAGTCACGTTTATTCAATTTTTTTCTTTAAATTTTTTCATATTTGTCATAATTTTTTTTGTCTTTGTTGTAATTTTTAGCTTCTTTGTTACTTTAAGTCTCTTTATTGCTGTTTTGAGTGTTTTCAGTCTTTTAGCTGAGCTCGGTTCAGGTTCTTCCTGACTCCTTTCTTCAGCCTCTTCAATCATCCATCCAACAGTCCAGGTCTTGTTAGGCGATTAATTGCAGGGATGGAATCGCTGTTATATAAATATACTTCAATAGTAAAGTGTAAAGTTTTGCTTGATGGATAAACATCATTGAATTTAATCTGGTTTTTCTGGAGCTGTAAGGTGATTCGGTGCAGGTTCAGCCCAGCAGGTCGAGCAGGCGACTCGTGTGTCGTACGGCTGTTGCCTTAAAGTTGTTGTTTTTTTTAAGTCTACATGTAAAAGAAGAGACGAATCTTCTTCGGGGCGGGAAATGAACTCCAGGCCAAATTCCTGAAGATTAAGTGCAGCAGTTTACTGCCAGCGATGATAAAATGCAGCTTCCTGTCTGAAGCAGTTTGAACCTGCGTGTCAATTTCTAATGATGTCATAAGTAGGGACTGTTTGTGTACGTTTTCCCCTCACAGCTTCTGTAAAATCCGTCCAGTGTTTGAACATTTTTCCTGAAGTGACACAGAAAACGTGTCTCATGCTGTATTTAACATTTGTACATCACTACAGACTCTCATGTGTACAGCTCAAATAACATTTTGATATCTTTTATTGTTTTAAAAACTATAAATCACCTGCTAATGTTTGCAGTAAAGTTATCACACAAATAAAAATGTTTTTATCATCACCCTGTGGTGTCTGTGCAGTCCCTGAACTATAAAACCACCAGCTTGGATCCAAAAACATGTTTTATTTAAATGATTTATAAATGTTTTGGTATTTTATATTTTTAGAGTCAGATTCCTGCTCAAGAACTGAAGGTAAAACTGCATCACGTGGCTACAAACGGTTAAACTAACCAGCGAATGAAAACATTGATGCATTTTATTGATCCGGTTTAGATTTGAAGCGGTTGCACGAGAGGTATAAAAATCCGACTTAAACATAAAACTGGAGAGAATGTCGTTTTTATTTCTGTGCTGATAAAAAAACACCACAAGAGGGCGCTGCAGCGTGTCAGCCCAGGTGTGTTTACTGACACCGTGTGCTGTGGGAAAAACCACGATCCAAGGTTGACGGGTAAAAAAAATGTGACATGCGTGCTGGAAAATATTTTAACTCTGGCAGAGATTTATTTATAATATATTTAAGTGTTTAAACGAGTGTTTATGACTTTAAGTTTCATTTTTGTGTCATTTTAAGTCTGTTGTCCCTCTTTGTTGACTCCAAATCATTTTTAATTCAACCAAACCCTGAGTTTGTTTGTCTCTGTCCTGTTTTTTGTTGGGTTTTTGAGTCTTTCTTAATGTTTTTGACTCATTTTACATTTTTTCCTGTAACTGGCCTCCTCGGGCTCATTGTTCCTGTCTCATAAAGCCTCTTCAGACTGAGCTCGTGGCCCTGTGTAATTAAATGTGATAGCCAGAGGGGTGTGATTCATGGTGGCAGATATTAACTGAATTCTGGGAAAGAAATACTTTTTGCTGCATATTGCAGGTTATTAGTTTTATTTTTATTTTAAAGCTCAAACAGTGTCTTTTCTAAAAACCGGATTTGCCATTATCTATTTCTGCATTTTTATTGCTTTTCACTTTGTCCTTGTTGTTTAGAGTTTTGGAGCCGTTTGCTTTTCTTTCCGGTCAGTTTGTGTCTGTTTGTATTAATACTGCGTAGTATTTATTTTAGAATATTAAAGTATTTTTGGTTGTTTTGAGAATTTATCTCTGTGTTTTTACTGGCTTGTGTTGTTTTCAGTGCATCAGTAATTAAACCCCTTCAGGCGCTGCCCGTCAGTGTGGATGGCAGATAAAAACCACAGACTCCAATCACTGTGAAATGTGGACGTCGGACCTTCCGAGTTGCACGTGAAGGCAACACGTTCAGGGCGGGTGGATTGAGGGTGGCTCAGCCTCCAGCCCGCACGCGCTCAGTGTGTTTATAACGTGTGAAGCCTTCAGGTGACCCGTCCGGTACCCGCTGCATCACCACCGGGATCTGCGGCGGCTCTGCGGAAGCGGAATAAAGTGAGACACAGACAGATCCACGCACAGAGACAAATCCACGCACACAGAGAGACTTCTGCTCGGTGAGTTTGTAAAAGTTTCATTCTGCGTGTGGATGCGCTGCTGCTGTCTCTCAGGAGGAAAGATTTTTTTTAAGTGTGTTTTTAATTTTTACTGTTCTTATGATTTATTCCTGATGTATCGGTGACGTGTTTGGTCCACAGAGGACACGTGCATGTTAAGAGGAGACTCATCCTCCCGTGTCTCCGCTCAGGAGGGTTGTGGGACGTTTCCAGCAGATTTTAAGCTGATGAAAAGTTTTAATTTAATCTCATTCAGTCCGGCAGGACTAACGATAGAGGGTACAGTTCTGCTCATATAAATATCTTCTGGTGATGTGTGAGGAGGTCCAGAAACCAGACTGGGCACTGTGGAGGAGTTGTGCTGGTGCCTGAGGGGGCCTTAGTGCCCACAGAGGAAGAGTATTTTTGTCACTGGGGGAGTTTATAGGGTTTTGTTGGCATTTTGGTGGCAGCTGAGGAGGATCCAGGGAATTTTCCTGGTCAGCGAGGAGACCTTGTTTGTGTCTTTGTTGGAGCTTTGGCCACTTGCAGAGTTTGAGTTACAGCCCAATCCATCATCCATCATACAGGTCGATGTGTCTGCTGGATGACTTTGCAAAGTGTAAAAATTGCAGAGTTCATTTCTGGACTCTTCACTTTATTTTTACTAAGAAAGAGAGAATTTTAAGCGCGAGGCAGAGTTACTACACACTTGATTTTTTTCCTCTTTTTAAAACGACTGAAAGTGGAAAAACTGAGACATGTTGTTGAAACGTCTTATTTCTGCTCAGCAGGCTGTTCTCCACCTGCTGGATGATTCATGAGCTTCTCTTTACACTTAAAAACATCATTTAATGTCCATGAATTAACTTGAGTGTGACAGCTCTGAGTTAGAAGCTTTTAGGGCCAAACTAAAGGCTGTGAGCCTGTTTGAGGCACCTGCAGCCGAGTGTGAGACAGATCCACAGACAGATCTGACGGTACAGAGGCTCCGTGTCTCTGCCGTGGGTAAACCTCCCCCCATTGTCCCGGCCTTTCCTGTTATGGACTTCGCCCCCTCCTCTGCTGTACAGTGTGACTGTGGGGCTGCTGCTTCCTGTCCTCTGTGTGTGTTTGTTGTTTCCTGGCTGCTTTGTGTCATTGTGTCGCCTCTCAAACTGCAGCGCTGCTGCTGAGCAGATATCAGACACCTGCGTGCTCTGCGTGGGAGCTCGCTCGGACACGTGACCTGCAGCATGTCAGTGACAGACTGAAAACGCGACATTTCAGTTTTCTGGTTTTATATTCTGTCCTGAAACGATGTGATTAGAGAAAATGATTTATTCACTATTTAGTTTTTTTGTGCATTAAAATGCAAAAATTCTCTGATGTGTTGATTTGAGTGTTTTCTGCTTCGTTTGGTCGTCTGTCGTTTTGTCTGGCTTCCACAATAAGACGTCATCAGCTGAGTCATCTGTTCATTTCTTATTTATACAATGGAGTCGGTCCTGAAACAAAATCAAACTCGAGGTGAATAATTCTCAACAACAATAAATCCGAACAGACCCGACGATCATTGGACCGTAAGCAAACATGCAGACTGATACCGACCAGAAGAGGACGACAGCTGCATGATCATCTGTTTATAAACTTCATTAAGAAGCTGAACGTCACAAGTGTTTGCTCTGCAACAGGTAAGTCACCTGCAGAGACCTCAAAACCCCCAAAGTCCTCAGTGATGATGGGACGTAAGCGCTGACCTTTGTCCAAAGTTTTGTCAATCAGGGGACAAAAAAACTATTTGGACTTTTTTCTAGAAAAAGTTAAATAACTATCCCCCAAAAATCAAAACAAGTTCGGGTTTCTTTTGTGGGCCGAGTCTGAGGTGATCAGAACAACACAAAAAGCTGGTGGAGACGGATGGCTGAAGGAAGACGTGCGCTGGCGTTGGTGTCCTTCTAGTTTCCAGTGTTTTAATGCGATTCCTTCACTCCTTTATATTTTTAAAAGAGGCTGACATTGAGATTAGTCGGGGGATTAAACTGTGAAGATCTAAGTGGCCTAAAAATGAGCACAAATAACTTGTTTCTGCTAAATTAATTGGTTTAATTTAAAGGAAACTTGAGGAATCTGCAGGTTCGCTGTATCTGTGAAGCTCCTG